TCAGATCTAGGATCTAGCGCCGCGAGCTACTGTAGTGACTCCGGCGGGGCGATGTATACCTTAGCCCTCTGACCACCAAGTCAGTAAAGGTAACCCGAGTTGCCGGAGTTGATGTCGCCTTGGTCGAAGTCCGTCTCTACCAAGACGCTCCCTTTTACCTAAGCCTACGGCATCCTCTATCGCTCGGGGGTTCCCTTTTCTCTTTCCTTTATTTCCCTATCCCTTCCTATCTCTAATTCTACCTATTTTTCCCTTATCTTGTGTTGGTGCCATCGGCCTCGGTTGCGACCGAACCAGTGTAGGTGTCTATGCCATCGGGCGACACAGTTGACGTAGCGCTGCTACTTTGACCCATTTTCCGACGGAGACTGTTGCAACGACGTCTCCCTCGAAGGGCTTCGTCGTGTTACGAGCCAGTGTTGGTACCATCGGTGTCGGTTGCGACCGAACCGGTGTAGGTGTTTCGAGCCATCGGGCGGCACAGTTGGCGTAGCGCTGCTACTTTCGTTTTATCCCGTCGGGCTGCGTTGCAACGCCCCCGTCGAAGGCCTTGTCGCGTTACAATGTGTCGAAGAAGCTCAACGAGCATTGGCCTTACAACCCAGTGGAACCCGGGTACCTAAGTACACGCCCCACCCCACACTCGTCGAGCAGTTCTCTTCGCAAATCTCTACCACACCGATCCCGGGCCGGGCTATTTCTCTGTGCCCCCCCTACCAGGGATCTGAGCTACTACGAGTCGCAAGCTCGTTTAAACGGAGAAGGGAGAGTCGGACACTCCGTAGCGCTGTGCCATCGGCAGTTCTTCTTTATGCTGCTGTTGTTGTTTTTGCTGAACCATTGGACCGCGGTCTCGGCCTGACAGGCGCATTGCACTACAAAAGTGGTCTCCCGACCTAGAATTGTGTCGACGACAGCCTCGGTCTGCAGTTGCTTGCACTACGAAAGTGGTCTGGGTAACGGAGTCTTTTTATTTTTTGTTTGTGCTTTTTTTGTGTAGGTTCGCTTGTACGAGCGATGTCGACAAGCGCCCCCGGGGACGTCGGTCCCGGGGCGAGTACGAGCGGATCGGCAAGGGCGTCGAGGATCCCGCGAGGTCCTCGCACCCGAAGCCAGGCCAATACGGCCACGGATCCCGAACGTCAAGAAATCCCGACGGGGATTGAAGCCGACAAGGATAACCTATCCTACCGGTTCGAGAAGATGGGCGAGGAAATTCGCCAAGAGATGACGAAAAATCTCGAGGCTGAATTAGCCCTCGTCCGGAAGCAACTGGAGTTGCAAGCATCCGAGTTCCACACCGTTTTAGGAGAGCTGTCGGCTCGAGTGGATCTCGTCGAGAAGGAGCGAGGTGAGGCGACCGACGGTCTGGAGCCGGAGGTCCTAGCTTCGTTGAAAATTTCAGTCAAGGACGCAAGGTGCGACGCGAAGCAAGATTTGGAGTCCTTAGGCAAATTTATAAGCAGTATCGACGACCGGTTTGACCGCGCCGCTCATCGTCTCAAGGACCTTGAACAGGTCGCCGGGCAAGAGCCGCTCCCCACGGGTCGAGAAGGCGACCGTCGATCGAAGAAGGACAAGGCCGCTCTACAGCGGAGTTCCAAGTCGAAGACTTCGAAGAAGAATCTGCGACGCCGGAGCAAGAGTCACTGTAGTGACGAGCGGGAGGACCAAGAATCAACTGCCGAGTCGAATGGCCTTTCCGAAGATGGTGACGACGGTTCGTCGAACCATGCCAACGATTCCGAACATCGTTCAGAGGAAGGAAAAGGAATTTCGCAGGGCAAGAAAATTACCTCCAGACGGGGCGGTATCACTTCGTCCGCCTCGCGGAGAGACAAGGACGCTGAGCCAGAGGACGTCGCAACGCGACGCGGGTCGCGATGGGAGGAGTTGGAGGAGCTGAATCCGACCAACTACCTCTTCAAGAAATTACTTTCGTACCGAACGTACCGCTTGCGGAACCCGCAGACTTATTTGTCAAGTTCCCGGCGGGCCGCCGTGCGAAAATCAGGAGAGATATTCCGCCTAAGGTGAAGAAGGACAACACGTTCACAGGTGAGGACGGGGCCCTTGTGTTGGATTTCTTGGCAAAATTAGTTCAAGAGTTCGATACTCAAGAAATGAACGAGGGGCAAGCGATCCGCTTGTTGCCCGAATTTTTAAGCGGCATCGCCTTGAGACAGTACACTTCGGTGTCTCATACGGCCGGGTCCCATCACGGAAAGGTATCCGTTTGGCCGGAGGCCGTACAGTGGTTGTTGAGGAGTTTCGCAACCGACGAGGCGATCCGTCAAGCCGTGCTCGCGTTGCCAGAAGTTCAGCAGCTACCGTCTGAAGACGAGATGGAATTTTATATCCGTCTGACGGACGCGAGCAATCGATGTGGAAACGTATATTCGATGGAAGAACAAATGAAGATGTTTATTGAAGGACTCGATTCGAGTATCAAGCCGATGGTATCTCAATACCGACAAGACAATCGGGACGTTTCGTTTTTGAGACTAGTTAATTACGCGAAGGCGCATGGCTCGGCGAGCCGCGCCAAAGACAAGAAGACCAAGAAGGTCACGATTCAGACGCCGTCGACGTTCAGGGCGGGGAAGAAGCCGAGGGCTTCTTACCCCGGTCGTAAAGGTCACGCCGCCGCCCACTTAGCCGAGTCAAATCTCCGCGTCAGATGAACGCGGTGCGCACGGAAGCAGCGAAAATCATTATGAAGGAGCATTAGTAGCCGAAGGCAATTTTATTGAGCCATCGGAGGGCTACGGACACGAGGACTACGGGGCAAGCGGGTCGTCAACTCCATCGACGCCCACATACACGACGGAGTCGTTTTCAGAGCCCACGGATCCCGTGATGATATTCCGGGGGCGCGGCCACACGCCGGCGCCGTGCATTCCGATGGAGGACAAGGGCACAACGTTTCGAAGGCCAGGCTGGATGGGGAGGCCGCAACATCAAGGAAGGCCGCCGGCCCGTGGAGGATCTAGGCCGCAATATCCCGTCAAGAAGCACGGACTGGTGTGCTATCATTGTTACGAAAAGGGGCACGCCGCGCCAACGTGCATTCTTTCCCTCCGGGAAATGCAGCGAGTTTTGGAAAATTATGAGGCGTTGTCTCCGATGGAGGGGTTAGGGATACCATCGACGAGTTACCTGAAGGTCAAGAATTGGTTTGATTCGCAGACGGCGAGCACGCCGAGTGCTTCAACGCCGAGTCCGAACCAACCCTTCAGAGGGCCCGCCGCGGGGCCCGCGCCGTCGGATGTGAGGAGGATCCCGCAGCGGCATGAAAACTAGAGAGGGGAATCTCGCATGAGCCGCGAGAGGCACAGGGTCGACGTACTGTGCCCGGGGCTCAGTCCCGTTCCCCGTCTCTAAGGGAAAAATCAGGCCCCGATGAGGAGGTTGTTGGATTGGTGAATAAGCTCAAAGGGCCAGCTCAAGTCAAGAAAATTTTCAGCCGAGCCCGAGATCATCCGCTGGAAGAAGTTCGAAGACCTTGGTACAGGGCTAAGCGAAGGGAGTGTCCCGAGAAGATTTTGGTTATTGCGCGAGAAAACTACAAAGTTTACGCGGACATTGGACCAACAGTCGGATTGATGAGCCGGGTGTTGTCTGTATTAGACACCGGCGCGGGACCAAACCTTGTGCGAAAATCGGAACTCCCGGCTGGAATGGAATCTCTAGTGTCCTACGGACCGACCCAAGACATTGGCGACGCGAACAATAGGCCACTCCGGACTCTCGGCACAATTAGAATGCCTGTGAGGCTTGGAAAATTTGTGGCCGCAGCCGAGTTTATTGTGTGCGAGAAGCTCGCAGTACCGCTAATTCTAGGCGCGGACTACTGGGACCCGTTCGTGGAAGCAATTTATCCAAGGAAGAAAGCGGTTGAGTTGGCGGATTTCTCGGAGGTTCCGATAGTTAGGCGGTTCTCGACGAGAAAAAGGAAGAAGAATCTCGTCCCGGGGGAGGACGAGAATGATGGAAAGGTGGAGCGAATTTCCCCTAAGGTAAAAGTGGCAAGAGCCACGACTATCGAGCCAGGGACGCAACGCGTCGTGGAATGCACCTCGAAGAGGGCGGGCTTGGTGGTGGTTCAGCCGTACTCGTCGTTGTACGAAAGGCACGGGTTGACGTGCACGAATGGTGTCGTTCAGGTTGAGCCTGACAGGCCATTTCGTTTACTCGTTGCGAATTTTAGGACGTACCCTGTCAGGGTGCAAAAAGGCCAAGTGGTGGCAGAACTACTACCGCACCCGAGAGCCGCGCTCGAGAGCAAAACCACCATTGGTGAAGTTCTCGGAATTCAAGAAAGGAAGAAGGAAAATTTTCCTAATTCCACCAAGACGCCTACGGGCGAGACAAGATGCGAACCGTCGGATCAAGGCCGCGAGGACCAGCCAGAAGAACGGTCGGCAGGGCTCTCCGCGTCGGCATCTACGAAGCCGCAACGCAGGATTGAGCCGCCACCGCCGGACGTGGAGGACCTCGACCTGAGCCACGTGCCGGAACGGCTGCGCGAGCGGTTTCGTCGGACGTTGAAGAAGTATTCAAGGATGTGGGATGAGACGCTTGGCGAATTTAATACCACAGTCCATCGGATCGAGTTGATCCCCGAAACTCGTCCCATCGCACAAGCCCCGTATCGGACCGGGCCTAAAGCCCGCAAAGTAGAAGATGCAGAAGTGCAGAAGATGTTAGAGGCAGGAGTGATAGAACCAGCGCAGTCAAAATGGGCGTCGCCCGTGTTGCTGTTGCCCAAGCCGGACCGGTCAATGCGTTTTTGCGTAGACTACCGCAGGCTGAACGCAGTGACAGTGAAGGACACGTACGCCTTACCGCGCATGGATGAGTGCCTGGACTAGCTTGGTGACACCAAGGTTTTCTCCGCGTTGGACGCGATTTCGGGATATTGGCAAATGCCTATCCCTGAGTGCGACCGCGACAAGACCGCATTTTCGTGTCACTCAGGTCTGTATCGCTTCTCAAGAATGCCCTTCGGGATAACCAACGCGCCAGCGACGTTCCAGAGAGCAATGGATATCCTGCTCTCCCCGTTCCGTTGGAAATGCTCTTTGGTGTATCTAGACGACATAATAATTTTTAGCAATTCGTGGGAGGAGCACATTGTGCACGTGGATGAAATACTTTTCTTATTGGAAAAGGCAGGTGTCAAGCTCAAGCTTCGCAAGTGCGAATTTTTCGTGGAAAAGATCAAGTACCTGGGCCACGTCGTCCGCCCAGGTACTCTAGAAGTCGATGTCGTGCGAACCGCCGCGTTGGAACAAGTGCGGTACCCGCGAACACGGACAACAGCTTAGAAGCTTCCTGGGGCTTTGCAATGTCTACCGCAGGTTTGTTCCGCATTATGAGAAAATTGCGCAGCTTCTAAACCAACTACTGAAGAAAGGACAACCGGTCCAGTTGGAAGGATTCGACGAACCGTGCAAGAAAGCTTTTCATAAGCTCAATGACGCCATTCTGGCACCGCCGGTGTTGGCGCTGCCGAAGAAGGGCCTACTCTACTCGGTAGACACCGATGCAAGCGATTATCAAATCGGCGCTGCATTATTTCAAACGCATCCGGATGCGCAACGTAAACTCATCGGGTTCTTTTCAAGAACGTTAGCCGCAGCCGAGATAAACTATTCTGTATCAGAAAATGAATGTCTAGCGGTAATTTGGGCCGTACAGACTTTAAGACCATATCTATATGGCGAGCACTTCATTGTGCATACCGACCATGCCTCATGGAGGTGGTTGATGAACGTAACCGACCCCAGTGGGAGATTAATCCGATGGAGGCTACGCCTCTCGGAATTTGATTTTGAAATCAAGTACAAAAAGGGAAAGGCCAACAACCAGGCGGATGCTTTGTCAAGGTTACGGACAGCAGGAGAAACCGTCGACGAAATCGACGACGAAATCCCATGCTTTATGGCCGAACCGGCCGAGGATACAGTGGAGGACGAGGAAAGTTTTGACGCGATAGACGACATCCTCGCTCTTGAGGAGTGGACCGCCCCTGACCGCCTCGATCAATTCCAAGCTGTCACTTCGGAGGAGCTCATTCGCGAGCAAGCCGTCGACCCCTTCTGCAACCGCATCAAGGAAGAAATGGACGCCGGAAAGGTGAGAACGTTCAGCATGGAGGCCGAGGAATTCTAGGGAACTCTATGCCGTACCGCGGCGGAGTTTGTACAAGTGGTGATACCACAATCGTTAACGGACCGCGTCCTAGGGGTAAGCCATTACGCAAAATTGGCAGGCCACTCGGGAGGCAGGAAACTTTACAAGACATTGAGAAGATATTTTTACTGGCCTACGTTGGCTCTAGACTGCTATGCAGTCGCAAAGAATTGCGCCGCATGTGCGCGGGAAAGGGTGAAGTTAAGAAAAAACACGAAGGAATTGAAGCTGTTCACGCCCAAAGCTCCGCTGGAGTTTGTCGCCATCGACATCCTCGGCGAGCTAATTACAACCAAACGAGGAAATCGGTATACTCCCGTGATCAGCGATCAATACTCAAAACTGGTGCGAACCGTGCCGTTGAAGAAGATATCAGCTGCGCACATCGCACAAGCCTTCGTTCACCATTGGGTATTCGTGTACGGACCGCCGGTCAAGCTGTTGTCCGACAATGGAACACAGTTCACGGCCCGGTTCTTTCAGAACGTCTGCCAAATTCTCGGTATACGCAATCCCTAGAAGAAATATATCAGTGTGGTAAGAGTGTGTCCAGAGTGTAGGCAACACCCATTATTACACTCTTGCCACCCACTTCCGGCACTTGTGATCGGGCATGTAGAGTGTGGCCAGAGTGGTGCTCTATACCTGACTGCGCTCTAGCGATACACTACCAACACTCTAAATTGGCACCTTATATGACTTGCATATACAAGTACTGTATACCACTACGCACACTCCTTGCACGCTCGGCTTTGCACGCAATTGTGTCACCTCGAATAGTATTCCGATCGATCTGTCTAAATCTCATGTGCCGTGAGCGTTCTAGGGGAACTGACGTCATGTCTGCAATCAGTTTCAGAACCTCTTCTATTGGCAGCGATTTTCTGCGTCGTGGGACTTTCTCAAACTCGTGTGCTAGAGGTTCTCCTCGCCGTGAAACGTAAATACCACAATTTATTAATTAATTGACACTGACACGTATCCAATTAGAAATATAATCATTTTCAATATATCGCCCAGCACAGATGTAGAAAATACACTTTCTGTATCACGACGACGGTATTTCTCTCTTGGGGCGCACTGCCCGCCCTACAAATCTCCCCACCACCATGTGAGAATATACACTTCGCAGAAGACGTCGGAATTACGTCTGCATCCCCCGCAGCATACGGGTTACCCCGTCCCAGCTCCTCTCACTGGCATTCAGCAGCCTGTCAGGGCGCCGGTACTTGTCCGTGAAATAAGTCCGTCTTCGCTGCCTCCGTCTGGTGCGCGTGCTATTCTCACCTCGACCTGGATCGCCCAGTGGCGTGTGTTCGGCCAATCCAATGAGCCTTTTCATTACTACAGCATCCTCCACAGTAGCACCCGAGAACACCTCCGCAGCTCTTCCTTCCTTGAAAACCTGCCCTTCACGTCCTTTCTTCATTCCACTAGCCCAGTCAAGCCAACCCACAACATGCCTGCCTTCAACGGCATAGTTTGCAACAGCAGTTGATGAGCTTCGAGGCATTTCAAACTCAATCAAGCGGAGAAGGCGGCCATAGAAAACATCCGCACTGTCTTCAGTTGAGTCCATTTCAACGGCTACATAACTGTTATCGCGATATTTTCTTTTCGTTTTCCGGGATCTAGCAAATTCCAATGCGCACCGACGGTCTGCACCTGGAACCCAGTAGTTGAGAAACGATAACGCGACCATAGTTTGCATCGTGTAACGTTGGAGACCAGTTCTTTCTCCTCACTCGCGCTATGGAGATCATACTTCCGAACAAAATAATCGGACAGTAACTGTTTCAATCGTACTCCGTCCGCGTATGTCGACAATTCCACCTCCTTCATGGGCCCGAGGACTTCAAATCCCTCCCCCGCTGCAAGGGCATCAAATTCCTTATCCTCTTTGTGCACGAAATTTCTGAAAAAGATCTTGTAAGATTCTCCAAAGCATGTCGCGTTCGCCATACATTCGGCTGCCAGGTGCCTAGAATTATTTCGGTCCTGCAACCACCCAATAAATCTCTCCAACCAATATTGGGATATACCTAGCAGTGGCCCGTATCTCTCCATGCTCTGGCCAAGGTGCAGCAATGCGTGTATTATAGACTTGCAGAAGGACACACGTTCTGAGTCGTATCGGAAGTATTTGGACTCAAAATGTTCGAAGAACTGCACACCCAGCACTTTCACCCGATCCACGTCGGCCCTAGTCACGACAGGCCGAAAACATGTGTCCACAAGCTCCGCAAATTGTCCAAGACCATCCATGTATTCGATAGGAAGAACACCGTCAAATAAAATGAGGGCATAGTCCAAAGAAAATTCTTTGAGCTCTGTAGCTTTCCACGCACGGTATTTGCTTAGAGGTCTTGGCTTTCGTGCAAGCTGTCCCGATATTGTCAGACCAAATCCCGTCAGCTCATCATCCATCCCAGACATTTGCTGTTTCGTCAAGGAAAAGGCGTCACCTTCTGTATTTTCCATTATGTCAAGCAATTCCCGTTGCACATTCTGAAAGGTGTGCATAATATCTTGCGGGAAAGATGAATACGGAACAAAATCGGGAACTGAGAGCAGCACAGAACGGTTTCCAATGCCCCATTTCTTGCGAACCTCTGCTCGCGCAGTTGTGGTGATGCACAGACATAGTTCATGAAAGGCTTGCTCCGCTGACTGAGGAGTTCGCATCGGGAGGCTGCGAGGGTCAAAATATACATCGCAGGCGACACTGGCCCCCTGTCTCCTGACCTTTGATGGAAAGTAGCAGTGGCCATGGTGGATGCCGTGTATTAGACAATCTCTGCATGGCATTTTGCTGTTAGGTCCAAGGAGGCCAGACACTGATGAGACCGCCATCTGGTCTCCGGAAAAAAGAGAGAGATGTATTCGGACTCTTCGTCGTACGCCATCATGGAATAAGAAGGATACACCATCTCCGATGAATGATCTTGCAACTTCATTGATAAGCGGTATGAGATACGACTGTATGTTTTTGGGTTGGTCCGGACCTGGGATAAAGCCGAGGGGAGTACGTTGCGGGATCTATATCGGATATCCGGGGGCAGGTTGAATAGAACGGCACAGATTACCCAGCAGTCATACTGCTTGTTCTTGAAAACTTGAAAGCCGTCTGTCGAAGCCGCAATGAAGACGTCAAATTTCATTCCTTCGTTCCCACCATACTTACCCTGAAGCCCCCAGAAGTGCGATCCATCGAAGTAGTCGAATAGAACATCTCCATTGTCTCCTGCATGAGACCTATTCCATACGTAGTCGTACAATTCCGAACACGATGATTCGTGTTGCACCAGCGCACCGAAACGGGGCAGCAGAGGAATGTATGTGAAGAATACATTTGCCTGCGACATAAGTTGTGGGGCCGGATTGCCGCAAGCGGAGCAGAAATCTCGGCAAATACCTCTTCTTTCATCATCAAATAGATCCACAAAGACCATGTGCCCTGGACATGTTGGGTACTTCTGCACCGTCGTAGCGAGTCCAGATGACCCGCACATATTAGCCATTACGGTCTTCCATGAAAGGCATGGTGCTTTTATCCCAGCCAGAATATCCTCCATCATGGTAACTTCGGCCCCATGCTTTTGAAAAAAGTCCACCCAACCCCGATTGTTCGATATCCACTCGAGAAGGCCTGGTGTTCTCGAGGCGTCTCTGAAGAGAAATTCGAAACCAGCATCACCGATACCGCCAACCACCCCCCGGTCGTTTTTGTTCCCTGCTTCGTTGTTCCGTTGATCTAGTTCATCACCCTGCTCGCTTGAGTCTCCATCACCGGCCGGCACATCCACAACGGGTGAATGTAGTACACCGCCTATAGTCCCACTCTCTGCCTGCAAAGAGTATATTATCTCTCCCCTTTCGCTTGCAGAGCGCACGACTCCCCTTGCCTCAGACATTGCAATTCCATCTCCGACACGATCGCTGTCCTCGTACATCCTGCAGTCATATTCACTCTCAATGGAACAAGAATCAAACCCATCATCACTGTCGCAAACGATCCTCGGCATATGATCTACTTGCCCTGTCTTCATTCCTCTCCGATCCATTCTATCCAACGAGTCCTCATCTGCCTCCTGATCCGTTCTATTTCCCTCACTGCCAGCTATACCGACGTCGTTGAATCCTGATCGAAAATTACCACCCGCCGCCAAAACGCCACGCGATACCCTCCTCCCCTGCGCATCTCCAGTACCCCAATTGAGCCTGAAGCTAGATCCGAGAGAGACATGAAACTCCCTGGCCCTATTAGGTGAAATCACACGCTGAACAGAAGAATTAAAATTGTCACCATGAGTTTGCTGCTGCATTGCATCTTTCGTCCTAAGCGTCACTACCTCTGGAATAGGATCATCTACCATAGGGCACTCAGTGTCTGTCGAATGTTGAAGTGTTGTCTCATTCCAGTTGTAATCCAAATGATTGGCTTCCTCCAATTTTGGACCCCAAGATAGTAGGCCTCTCCCAGCTTCCCGACGTTTTGCGTTTGCTGTCCTTCGATGCCGCAGCATTGTACTGCGACTTACGGGCTTAGCAGGCGTGCAGTGACATTGATACCAAGGTGGGCACACGAATCTTGGGTTAGACATGGCGATAATGCCGGAGAAAAATTCCGACGACAAGCAACTCAAGCCCCTTATCAAAACGTTAAGAGAAACGTACCGAACCAGATGGGTATACCCAAATTTGAGTCGGAAACCCTTTCGTGCTGTTTCGAGTGATATATGTGACTCATTCGGAGCTCAGTGGTGACGCAAAAGTTCCTCGGAGACAAACAAAGTTAGCTTTCGATTCGAGGATTGACAAAAAAATACAAAAAGTTCATTTGCAAAATTACAAATGTAGCTGGAGCTGTACGGCAGATCATGGAAAGAAAGGCGAGACTTCAACTGATGCCTCAAAATTTTCCCCTCCCCCCCTCACACCCCCTATCAGGTTCGAAAACATATATTTCAACCGCATCCATTTCATCATCAACAAAATTCTCTAGTACCAATGAATTCGAGGGAGTTCCATGCAGCAATGACGGCGAAGATGAATGTTGTTGTCACCAAGCTGGAATTAATTGCTCAAGACATTAAACAGGTGAAGAGCCGTGTGGATGTCATCGCACCGCAAAACGTCAAAGAACCAATTTACAGACCCAGCAACCTCCAAGCAAGGTTTGGCAGAGACCGAAACATGGCGAGCATGTTTCGAATTTTGACGGCGGAGGCAAACAATGGTTTGCCTGCGGGTGATTCTCGCCGTGTTCGCGAACTTAATCCCAATGTGGAAGACGGCGTAATTAACAAGGCTGCCAAGGACAGCCTTGATGTGATCAGTGGAGCAATTCTGCCGAATGAAATGCTGAAGAAAACGTGGCGTCAGATATGTCGCGAGCGCAAAGACTTAGCAATGGAAATCATGAATAACGCCAGATCCAAGCCGGAGCTGATCGTGTTTGCCCAGGGTGCTGCAGACTGGGCGATGCATATGATTGCAGATCAGAAGCATAAGTCCAC